GGTCACGATCATAGGAAGACCTATGAAGTCCAGAAGGTCTTGAAATTGACACATATCATAGGAAGATATTCATCTGAAAGTACTGAAGGCTGACAAATGGCACTTTTAACAATATTTCCTCTTGAAGAATCGAAACTATGTTTATAGGACCATCTTGTATCCTGAGTTGAGGTGGTCCTTGACTTACAATAGTTCATTTAGTGACCATTTCAAGTTACAACAGCACTGAAAAAAGGGACTTTGGGCCCTTTTTCATGCATAGGACAGTTGCAGCATCCCCATGGTCACAGGTTCAAAATTCAGAGGCTTGGCAACTGACTCACATTCGTGACGGTCACAGTGTCCTGGATCATGTGATCCTTTTTTGCGACCTATTTGACAAGCGAATGGGAATCAGGCTTCTCAATGGGAAAGCCAGATTCGTTTAACAACCGTGTAAGTCCTTTAATACAGCTGTAGTGATTCCGTTAACCACTGTGGCAACATAGGTTGTAAAACAGCGCCAAGTCAGCCATGTGCACGAACAGAGCCCGTAATTGCGTGATCAGCGTACCAGTAGTGACGGTAAGAGCAACCCACCACTGCATGTGACCATGGGGGTGTAGCAACGGTGTGAAAAATGGCCCTAAGTCACTTTTCTTCATGCCATTGTAACTTTCTGTTCCCATCTGGGAGTGCGGAAATTGGAGAGGAAGGGATCACAAGAGAGTAAGTAAGTGATGAATAGTCCGGGCCATGGGACAACTTATTTTACCACCGTCATGGCTTCGTGAGGCCACTAAGTGAACTGTTGTAAGTCGAGGACTACCTGGATACATTGTCCCTTGTCTGACCTATTGGTTTTTGTTCCCATCTGGGAGTGTGGAAATTGGAGAGGAAGGGATCACAAGAGAGTAAGCAAGTGATGAACAGTCCGGGCCGTGGGGCAACTTATTTTACCACCGTCATGGCTTTGTGTGGTCACTAAATGAACTGTTGTAAGTCAAGGACTACCTGTACACATTGTCCCATAACTGGGCGTCTCTTCCGGAGTGAGGATACTTTGCAAAGCTCAGCTACAAAAATTTATAAGCAAAGGAAGATTTGTAGCAGGAAGGGTAGTTCCTTTTTGGAAAACCTGTGCAGAAAGTCCTCGATTTAGGAGCCCAAAATTTCTGCTGTTAAGTGAGACAGTTACATGAGTTTTGCCCCCCGCCTTTTGTGACCTTACTTGCCACAGTTGTTAATCACTGCAGTTATTCAGTTAATAACATGGTTTTGTTAAGTGAATCTGGTTTCACCAATGACTTTGCTTGTCAGACGTTCGCTAAAGGAGATCACACGATCCCGGGACACTGCAGCCGTCATGAGTCAGTTGCCAAATGTCTGGATTTTACCGCTATTGTAACTTTCAACTGTCACTAAATGAACTGTTGTAAGTCGAGGGCTACCTGTATACATCGTCCCACGTGTGACCTATTTTTTTCCCAACAAGGAGTGTGGAAATTGGAGAGGAAGGGATTAGAAGAGAGTAAGCGAGTGATGAACAGTGTGGACCACGGGATAACCTATTTCACTACCGTCAGGGCTTTGTGTGGTCGCTAAATGAACTGTTGTTAAGTCGAGGACTACCTGACCTTGGAGGGACTGTGGACCTGGCTTACTTTTCATGAGTTTTCCTGACAAGTCCTTTAGTGCAAAGGAAGGGCTGTTTCGACTGGACGCTGAGATCACAGAAGCATCTTGAGGGTCCCCCGGAAAAGGACAGTCCTCGCCTTCTGACGGAGTCAACCCCAAGCGGG